GGGGGGGGGGGGGGGGGGGGGGGGGGGGGGGGGGGGGGGGGGGGGGGGGGAAGGAGGGATATCTCATAAGCGACTGCTGGGAGAACAGGACCGACAAGACAACAGGGGTGAAAGCGAATAGGTGCAACGGGCTGGTGATGCAGTGCAGACACTTACTCTCCCCACCAGAGCTCCTGTGCGGTGGTCTCATCTTTGACGACGCGCTTGTCCTTGGGTGAACGACCGGTCTTCGCGCCCGAAAGCGTGGCGATGGCTCCCGTCGATGTAATGAATGATCCCTTCTCGTGCTTCAGTGCCTGCTCATACAGCTCTGCCGTTTCATCGTTGTCGATGATTTGGGTAATGAGGAACGCAGAGACAAGATCCGAAGCACAGCCAAAGAAAACGACGGTTCATAATCAGCTCGAGAGAAACGATGTGTCCATCCATGCTCGCGTAGGACCGCCAAGTCGCGGGGTGAATGACCCGACGACCGTGAAAGTTGCTCCAGGGCGGGAGGTATGGCGAAGGTATGACTCTACCGTATTTGAATGCCACCTTCTTCACCCGAATAGAATGCCCTGTCATTATAGCCGTATTTGGTTCAATTTCAGTCCAGATACAGCCATAATGACTCGCCTTCTGTTCGGGTGAAGACGCTAGCAATGCTGACAGACCTACTAGTATGCAGCGAAGAGCAGACGAGGCTGAGCCCCACGGATATTTGTGCAGACGTGTGCCTAATTCCCTTTCCTAGCGGAGGAGGAAAATGAGATCAGAGACTCGAGCTTAATAAAAAACAGGTTTGATAACTCTCTCGCGGACAAGGGCTTTTAAATAGAATCAGTGGAATGTCTGTTCTGATCTGTTTAATATCTGATCCGCTGTCCATCGGGCCACACAAAATGAGCAGTTGTGATCAGTTCAATATGGGCCTCGCTCAGGCTCGCTGCACTACTCTCCACATATAAAAAAGACAAAAATTATGGTGGTGTATCTTTCCTTGTTCTAGCGGAAGATTCATTCTCATTTTCCACATTTGGAGTGTAGTGCAGCGAGGACCCATGTGTTTCTGCCTTGTTTTCCGATCAGTTCAACATTTGATCATCTGATCCAGACGTTGGCTTTTGAATTTTCAATTTTCCTTGTGTTCAGATCAATTCAATATCTGATCATCAGATGCAGATTCTGGATTTTTTTAGTTTTTTCTTTTTCTTTGTAGAGGTTAGTGCAACTTAGTGGCATTCATTACAAATAACAGAAATTCAGACGAGGCCGGGTAACCATACAGGGGCCTTTGCTTCGATTCCTGAAATCTGCCTCCCCCCCAACCCCCCCCGGTCCAACAAATTGAGTGGTCGCTCTGTCGTTTGACTGAGAACACGTTTGACTGAGAACACGGGGGGGGAAAAGATCATAAAATCGAGAAAGAAAATCTGCAGCGACCCACCTGGCCATAAAATCGAATTTTTTTTCCGGGCGGACAGTCCTGTTTGACCCAAAAAAAAAAAAAAAAAAAAAAAAAAACTGCAGCGACTGTAGACAAAATCGCGCAAAACTACCTTACTCCGGAAGACAGGGTGGTGTTTCCGGGTGGGTCTAGTTGAACTACTCACCATCGGCCACGATTTTGAATGCATCTAAACATCTTTTGTGTTCGCATGCATTCAAAGTCTTGGCGGATGGGAAGTGCTGCAGCTACACCCAAAGTGAGAGTCTTGGAGTCTGGGTACATTATGACAATAAACCCACAGCACAAGAAACAGCGAATACTTCTTGCTAACAAGCTCCACCCGTAGATTCATTACATCAACGGCCCGACTGAGTTTGGACGGAGTGCACGTCTATTGCGTCCAAACAGGGACTCCGAGGCCTTATGACGCGGACGTCACGGCCTTTCAACTTATTTTGGACCGAAATRAAARAACGCAAARACAAAAAAAAAAAAAAAAAAAAAAAAAAAATCTGGGCCATTCACGTTCGAAATAACAGAAGTAGCGTGGTCAGAAAAAATAATAATAATAATTTTAATAACAATTAAATGCAAAAATGCACCAGGCCATCCGCACATTGCGACATTCGGGTGTAATTCTTGGACCAGGCTAGTTTTCGCATTGCCGAGCCTGAGAACTCTACCTGTTTATGAACTTAGCCAAAAGGGAAAAAAACACATTCTGTGGTTGGACAACTCCCCCTACGCGAAGGACGGCGAGAGTTGCAATCACTCACCAGGAGGGCTCAAGTTGTAAAGGATCTGCGGTCCGTTGAGTCCAGCATCGCTCAGCTGCTTCAGAACTTCTGGAGCCGCGCCACCCGCCATGATTTATCGAAGAGATGGATGAGCACGAGCACACTCTTTCGAGTCCTCTGTCCTGCCGGGCGAATTCGAGCGCGAGCACAAGGTTTCCGTAAGAGAACAAGGAATGCAGCAGAGACTCAGTTTGTTAGGTCACAGTAGCGAGCACAATCCTTCCGCACACTGTCAGCCAAACTGGAAACAAGCAGCATGTGCACAAGGTCACTCCCTTAACATTCTCTCAATTTCCAACACCGTACCAGAGTGCTCACATCGGACCATCTGAGCCAATACTCGCACTCGGACCGTTTTTTGACCGCATCTAACTAATAAAAGTGCTCGGAGAAAACATGCCGGACATTCATCTTAAGTTAGTGAGTATTGCCCTTCGAAAGGCTTGGAAAGGACCGGAAACCTACTTCGAATGCTACATAAATCCCAGGCTGGCTATTGTCGAACCAGGACAAAATATTGGATGAATACGAGGCACGACAAGGAAGAGGGCAAGGGACAAGATAGCAACAAAAGGCGGGACCAGGGACCAGATACCATCGACAGAGACAAATGAATCAAGACTACGTAGTACCAGCAGGCAATTGCGTTCGATGATGCGCGCAGACACGTCTACGATCACACTCAGGGAATACTCACACTAGGACTTTTTGTACTAAGCCGTGGACGAGATTGCAGTCAGATTCATCCGGCTCTCGTATGTTGATTGTAGTCAGGCGCATTTAGAAAAGTCCCGGTGTGAGTATTGCCCTCATTCAGCGAAAACCTCAACACTCACGGCACACTGACACTACTGCTGAGAACTTTCGTGGAATCATCTGCAGTGCCACGCTCGGTAATGAAAGTCTTGAGGCCCTGGTCCCGCCAACACGGATTCCTCGCTAAACGTTTCTGACGGTACGCTGCGAAGATCGACGACTGCAACCGAATGTAGAATCCAGGTAAGTGGGACTTCGCCTCGGGTCTGTACATAACACGGTGAGACAAGTGAGAGAGAGAGGCCGACGCCATACCAGCAAGAGGTAAGGCGCTGCTGTGCTCCAAGTCGCAGCGCGTGGATTCACATCGTGTGAGATCTTTTTCGGAGAAAAATGCGATGATGAGCATCATGAACCAGTTCAAGCGAAGCGCACACACTGACACAAGGACACTTCGAACGGGATCTGTTTTCAACAACGACCAGATGCACTCATGGGAGGTCTGCTGCGACTTGCCGAAACGGCTGTGACCTTGGCTCATCGTCCGTGAACGGAAAAGAGAACCAGGATGGAACAAAAACACAACAATCATTCACCCGCAAAGAGAATATTCCTATTTCATTGCCCAGATCAAGATGCCGGAGCGAGCAAAGAGACGACTCCACTGCTTAGCTGACATTGCGCGAGAAGCACGGCTCACCTGATTCAAGACAGTCCGATGGCCAAGACTTAGTGCAACCCAGTGGCTCCCGTACGAACCGCCTTCCCCCTATCACTCACTGAGTCGCTGCTAGCAACAGGGATATGGAGGTCCCACCCAGTACGGTGGCGAGAAGAGGGAGCAATGAGCTTGTAACCTGCAGCTGTGGCCGACTGCTTCGTGCGACCCGTTCGCCTTTTAAATGTCGTAATGATCGAAGTGGTCGTGCGGTTCGCACCCTTTGCCGCCCATATGCTCATTGCTGTCCACCACCAGCGGGCGGTGCACTGGCGGGAGAGAGATGGGCAGTCCGTACACTGAGATCCGTAGGCGGGAAGCAACACATACCCAAAAAAGGCTGTTCACGATTATTGATACTGATCAGACAATTCAGCTGAGGACCTCGGTAACGCACGATCTCCTGACGACCTGGGGCTAGGTCCCACTTCCACGAATCAAGCGATTTTGACCGTAGCAGGCAACGATCAACGGGCATAATCTCTTAATCCGTGCAAGTGGGACCTTGCCCCTGGACAGCAGAGGCTCGCGGGTGACCTGACGGAAAATTTTGGGATCTCACACCAGGACTGTCATTCCCAGTCATCCCGCCAAAACCGTGATCGGGCGCGTTTAAGGCAGGAGACTGAAGGGGCCTTTGGGGGGGGGGTTACGCCCTTCAGTCCACGTGGATGTTTCCCTCCGCTCAGAGGAAGCAGGACTGAAGTCTGAAGATGAGGGATCCGACAAAGTTGCTGAGCGCGCTGCGCTGGCTTGGCTCTGTGATCTCTGATCCACCTGCATCTTATGATGACATTCGTCCCCATTCAGTCAACGATCTCTCCGGCCTTGCCGCGCCACTCACCAAATGTGGAAAAAACAAAGACTTTTGCGCGTGTACCTTTCCATGTTCTGCCGGACAATTCGTTCCATTTTGCACATGTGGTGAGTTGCGCGGCGAGGCCGCTCTCCTCTCTTTTGGAAACAGTTAACAGAGGTGCCGAAAGGTGGAAACAACGGATGGGCCGAAAGGTGGAAACAACGGATGGGCCGAAAGGTGGAAACAACGGATGGCTGGAATAGTCATGTACCGTGTATCGGGCCCGCTGAAAACGGCCACGAATCCAGTCAGCGTTTTCTGTTATATGCATTTGTTATTCTGTTTTTTTTTTTTTTTTTTTTTCCGGAAAAAACAGTGGCTGGACTAATCATAACAGCTCTCGAAAATGCACGAGGCAAAACACGAAAAATTATACCTGGACGGACTGGCACCTAGCGAGAAACCAGACTTGGGGAAAGGCAGATAACCTGGTCTCGATCTCCTCAGAAGCAGCCTTATTCTGGCAGACTGGCTTCGACAAGAAAAGGAACGGATCTGAGCACAGGCTCAAAGGGATGAGGGCGCCTTTTAGACCTCCTGGGGTTCAGTATTGTGTGGTACTCACAGCGTTTTTTATTAGCTGTGCAAAGGATTTGGATTGTTGTGGCAAGGGTTTACAGTGGGGTTGGTTTTGTAGTGCCCTTTTTGGATAGGTTCGTCTTTCCTTGTTTGGGGTGGTTTTCTTTTTAATGTTTAGTTTACATTCTTTGGATACTGGTTAAAACTCATAGATAGTTCTTAGGGTTGATTGGGGCCTGAGAAAGATCCCTACAGCTAACTCAGAAAGATTTCTAGGAGTGCAGGTCTACTTTTCCCACTGCTCTAAAGTTCAGGACCAGATACTGACGGACAGAGTAATAGCAAGAATTCACTCATGGATAAAAAAATTCAAGCTGTCGCTATTTGGAAGGGCTCTCGTCCTATCTGCTGCAGCCTTTTCGATTTTATGGTTTCCTCTGTCAATCTGCTTGCTAGGCAAGGAGGCTTACTCTGACATTAAAAAGGCTGTGACAAATGCGCGACTTTCGGCGCGAAGTGCTGAGTGGGGTCCCACATAGATTGGATGGGTTGATGGAGAATTGCATGTGTGTCCTTGCTCTTTTTTTGTTTCTTCGTTCTCGCACGAGCCCCTGATGACAGTTGGGGACAATTCGGGAATACCAGGGGAAAAGGGGGCAAAACTTGGTCGGATGCGGAGTGCGCGCCCAGTGCGCGATTAATAAACGTTGACGTCCCTTCTTTTTCGTTTCCCTTCTTTTAATTTTGTTTTATCGGACTTTTGAGCGCGCTGACATCGCGTGGGAATTTTGGTGTCTCTTTTTGAATTTCTTTCTTGAATTTTCTTTTCGAATCTTGGTTGGAGCCATACGGCCTTCGGAATTTTGATTTTCTTTTCGGACCATTCTTAATATCGGCAGGCTAGCTAGGAATTTTGGAATTTTGGAATTTCTGTTTTTCTGGGCCGCTGCTCTGCACGTTCGCGCGCTCTTTCTTGCTGTTGCGCCGGAACCTTGATTGATTGGCGCCTTAATCCTTTTGCAACTGTAATTTTTGGCGCACACTTTTGTAACTGTATCTTTCAATTTCTTGCTTCTTCTTCTTCCCGCCTCGTTTCTTCCTTTCCCCCCCCCCTGCCTACATTGAGCAGCCGCGGTTGCATGTTCGGATCAATGCGTGGAGTGGGTGCGTCCCCCACGCCGCGGCCCGACCATGCAAACGTAGGCATTCCCTCTCCCCCATCTATCTACTTCCTTGTAATTCCGAGTTCTTCGCGCATGCATGCACGCTATAAATTCTGGCTGCGCGATTAACTTGCTCTCTTAGCAAACTGGAAGCTCGAGGTTGCGCGATGTGAGATCGGCACACGAGCGAAGTAAGAGGTGAGCAGAGGCGGAGTTGGGCGATCCGACGAGCTGACGCCGAATGCGCGGGGTTGACGTGGGCCACGACAGACTGTGAGCACGGGCGAACCTGACGGGTGCAGGAGGGTTAAGCGGGATGACAGATTCGCGGGTTGGTGCGTGACGACGGACTGTCCGCATCGGAGAGAGAGAGAGAGAGAGAGAGAGAGAGTGAGTTGTGTGGACATGGGTTTGCAGTTTCTTGTCTCTTCCCCTCTCTTCCGTGTACATAAATTTTGATTGGGCGACCACCCCCTATCCTTCGATTCGACATCTCTGTTTTGGTTTTCGCCTGAATTGGCGCATCCTGCATTTCCCTCTCTTTTGATTGCCTTTTTGTCGACACGGATGAATGGATGGAATGCACATCGTTTCCTCTTGCGCCTCACTAATGTATGGGATTAGTTGCTCACAACCTCGTGAAGTTTTGATTGCATCGTGATGTGTAGACGGAATCAGTTGCCCGCTATCATTAGGCTGGATGTATGTGCAGATTGTCTGTTTGAGTTCGTAATCGACGTCATCATCCCGACCCAAAAATTACGTCGAGCATATCCGAGAACCCATGTCTGAGAACCACACGCAACGATGACACGGTCCTCAGGCTCTAGCTCATCTTGGGATAGGAAATACTTTGAGCCCTGGATTCAGGAATCCCGTCGGAAGTACTATTGCACGCGAGAAGCGTATCCGGAATTCCCGAATTACACGAGAAACCAAGTGAGAGAGCGGGAATTCCATCGTGCGATAACCAACGATCCGCGCGGAGCAGACTATCCCGAACCGGATTACACACAATATTACACCTCTCCCGGATTCGTGGTTGTCGCCACTAATTACCCTCCCTTCCGTGTTCTCCTCCCATATCACCAGCTCACATTGGTTCCCCGGCGGGTCATAGCCGCGTATTGGCCTGAACCGTGCAGAGAGTGTTTACTCAGGTGCCACCCGCGTGCTCCTCACTTTGACCAGCGCGCCCATAACCCGCGGCGTGGCCAACGATCAATCCCCTTTCGAGTCCCCAGGCAGGACGCGCGGCAGTCCTTCGCACCCCGGTGATCCCCATCAAACCCGAAGCGGTGAGATAAGCGGTAGTTGCGTGCTTGCCCTGCCCTACAGCAGTATTGCGTCCACGACCCTTGAACTCGACCACAGAAGATCCCAGTTCCGACCAGGGACTTCAACCCCCACTTTCCCAAAAATCCTTGGCACACCCCTCTTCGCACTTCCAGGCCCCCCATCCCACTCCGATCGGGAAGTCGCGCCGGTCGTGAGGTTAAGGGCGTCACGAGGCTGCTGCCAGGTATCTTTGGAAACCAGCAGTCGACGAAGACCAGGGTTTCATAACAAAAGTTGCATGTGAAGCAATGGCCCAGCCCCGCCAAGAAGGGGGACTGGGAATCATAGACCCCCAGACACAAAATTGGGCGCTCCTAGCCAAATGGATCATTAAAGGAATGTTTGATGACYCATCGAAATTGTGGATCCGCTTTGCTGAGTACATATTGAGCACAGAATGGTCCTTGGAGGAGCCAAACCACATTTGGATTTGTAGTCTAGTGCCTTCCTTTTGCAACCGGAAGATTAAGTTTAGAGTGTGGCAGGGAATTTTCTTGGCCTGGAACAAACTGAGACCCTCATCAATTAAGGATCACATCACCAAAATGGAGATAGCTAACCAGTGYCTTTTTGATAACCCGYTGATATGTCTCCCCTCAAAAGAGAGTTTTTCGGCAGGAGGGGGTACTGGAAAATTTGGGAGAGCTTGGATGGAGAGAGGTATTGTCCAGGTCAAGCATCTATGGGATGATGAGACAAACGATTGGATCACGGCTAAACAGTAACGTCCCCGACTATCTCGCCTGCGGAATGTGACGGCCAATCTGTCTCTGCTGATAGCAGCTCTCCCGTCCCGCTGGTCTTTAACTTTGAAAAATACATCAGAATATGTGGAAGGGACATGGCTAAGATCTGATGATGATGCATCCTGTGTCTGGAAGGTCTTAGGCCCGGATTTGGAGTCCGGGACCAGACTGGAAGAATGGAAAATCGGGATCCCCAAATCCCAGGATGGCCCGCTTGTTAAGGGTCAGGAGAAAACTGTTATGGAAACGTTCGGACTGGACGAAGTCAGAGTACAGGTGGGAAACAAGATGGCATCCTGTCTAGGCAACGCTGAGCTGTTCCAAATAGAGCCCCTGATGCTGGGGTGGAAGGAGGAAGGAACTGGCTCTGGACACCCGAAAGTGACAGCGTTAATAAACTATAAGGCAAAAACAGGCGC